GCGGCAGGTGCAGCGGCAGCGGCAGCGACAGCAGCAGCAGCAGCAGCAGCAGCAGCAGCAGCAGCAGCAGCAGCAGCAGCAGCAGCAGCAGCAGCAGCAGCAGCAGCAGCAGCAGCAGCAGCAGCAGCAGCAGCAGCACGGCCTCATCATTCAAGTCGGCACAAGCGGACTTCCCCCATGGCAATAATAAATGATTATGGGAACTTCAAAACACAAACAGCGTCGGCCAGCACCTGCGGCCGCCGCCCCGCGCGTTGAGCGGCTGGGCGGCGGCTGCACGCCACGCCGCGCCGCTGTGCGCGCGCCTTATGCCTTGGCGCAGCCGGACCGCCACCTGTCGTACGCTTCCTTGCCCTCGTCCCCCTCGAGCCGCCGCACCCACTCATGCGTGTACATGCACGCCCGCGCCGCGACGCCGGCCCTGCACATGTCGCCGAACTTGGGGCACGCCCCTGAATTGGCGTACTCTAGGTAGTCCGCTGGCTTTGGGCCGTGGAAGTGCACTATGGCTACGTCTGACATGCGGGTCGGCTCCGCCGCGTGGTAGGGCTTCGCGTTGAACTTGGAGGGCAGGCGCCACGCACGGACGTCGGCTTCGTAGTACTGGTTGTATGCGCCCTGGGGCGGATGGGGGCAGTTGGTGGTGGTTGGCAGCGCGGCCAGGTGAGATGCTGGAGATTGCAATGTTGACATCTTCAGGTTGTGTGCGCTGACTTTCTTTCTCTCACGCGCATATGAGTGGCGCGAAGGCATGTGCGGTGGCTAGTCATGCGACCCCTGTGAAACCCGGTGGCGGCACGCCATTGGGGCCCGAACAACACACATGCACTGTGCTCAAGCCCCACAGCCGCCGCCATCAACCCCACACAAACGCCGCACACACACGCGCGCCCGCCCAGCGCCCAACCTCATGTGCTTGTTGCGCCCAATCACCCCGCACCCGCGCCCCACCTGGTCGCCCGGCCCAAAGCCAGGGAAGGTGAGGCCGTACTTGTTGGATAGGATGAACTCTAGGAACGGCTTGTAGCTCTCCCTCAGCGCCGGCAGGTTCGCCAGCATGATGCCCGCGTTGTACGGGAACATGTCCACCATCTCGGGTCCCATGCCCACCGCGCGCGGCAGCGGTAGCGGGAACTCGTGGAAGCTGAAGGGGCGGCGGAATAGGATGTCGGTGTCCGTGAACAGCACGTACGTGAACTGGTCGATCCAGTCTACCAGAGGCAAGTCTATCCGCTGCCACGTGCCGACGATGGAGTCTTCAGATGCGAACAGGTGGCTCTGCGCCAGGTTGTCGGCCGCCTTGCCGCGCGCGAGCGCGACGAGCGCGGTGCGCCACGCGGGGTCGTGCGGGATGACGCGCACGCCGCGCACGCGCATCCACGCGACGATCGGCGCCCCGGCGTCGCCGGCAAAGATGCAGTGCGGTGTGATGCCCCCGGCCTTGGCCGCCGAGTTGACGGCCGCCTTGAGCATGGGCTCGTAGCCCGCGCTCCAGGAGTTGAATGTGAAGACCCACGGTGTCGAGAACAGCGGCAGTACCTGCACCAGCGGGACGTCGCCGCCGTTGTAGTAGCCCGCCCACGCGCCCGCGTGGCGCCGCTGCAGGATCGCGAGCGCGGAGAACGTGGACACCGAGTTGCCGAGGTAGCGGGCCGCCCGCATTGCGACCTCGTATTCCACGAGCGCCCGCAGCTCCCGCGGCAGGCCCTCGTCCGCCTGCGCCTTGACGTACTTGTAGCCCGCGCCCCCGATCGCGCCCAGGACCGCGGACACGATCTGCTCATCCGCACCCGCCCAGTGGGCGGCGACGTACACGGGCACGTCTGTTTTGAAGCCCATGCTGCGCATGGCCTTGTGTACGTCCAGGGTGTTGTTGAAGCAGTTGTCGCGGACGATGCCGTCGACAGAGGTGAGGGCCGCCCACCTGCGCGGACGAGGGGTTTGGCGCATGGCGATTGCGGGACAGTAATCGTTAGAGCTGCTTGAGGGTTTCTTGATGCGTGTTTGATTGGTGCATGGGTTCAAAACTCTGCATGGTGCCTCGGCCAGCCAGGCCACCGGGGTATGTGAGCACAGTCCCCGCCCCTCTCAATGCTGCTGCTCAGGAAGGGGCTGGCTTTGGGGGACTGCTGTGCGCTGTACACATGACTGCATTTGTGTTCACATGGAACCTTCATGTGCTGCATGTGCATGCATGCAGCATCAGCATGCCTCTTGCACGCAGGGCACGCTCCATGCGACCGCATCCGCGCTCCTTGGCTCAAAAAGGGCAAAACCACAGTGCAGAGCCAGCGCCCTGCTTCCGTTGTTGCCCCTGCTAGCCGCACCCTCACTGCCTGCCCGCTCAGACCGCACCGCCTACCTCGCGCAGTGTGCTTGCCAGTCCTTCTCCAGCCGTATGTGCAGGAAATTGAACGGCGCGCCCTCCACGCCGCTCATAGCGCGCTTGATGTGCGGCTCCAACGCAGGCGCCGGCTTGAGCGCGTTCAGGACGCTCCAAACGAATTTCTGCTCCGCCAGGATCACGCCCGGAGAGAGCTTGAAAAGCGGGCAGTCAAGCGCCAGGTGCGGCACGCCGCGGTGCGGCGCAAAGTGGCGCGGGATGTCCGAGATCGGCCGCGCGCCGCCAAGGCCGATGTTGACCGCGCCAGTGTCGAAGCCGCGCGCGCCGCCCAGCGCAAACGCGCGCTGCGTGAGCGCGTGGACCCCAAAGGGCGCTATCGCCTCGCGCAGCGCGTCGGCGTCGTAAAAGGCCTCGAAAGCTGACGTAGTGGCCCTGTCGTCTGTGGCGAGCTTGGCCTGCTCTGTCAGCTGCGTGCCATCCAGGATCATCGTCGGCAGCACCGCCGCGCGGCCCAGCTGCTTGGCAATGACCAGCCCATAGATCAGCGCCAGCCGCTGGTTGGCAAAGCCGTTGCAGACCTGGAATGATACCGTGTGCGTGACGCCGTCAGGGAAGCCACTGTCTGCAGCGTCCGCGGTGGCGGGTGGCGTCACGGCAGCGACGGCGTCTGGCACCACAGCGCCCAGGATACGGTCCGTCGCTGACATACCCGCCGCCGCTGCTTCGCTGCTGCCAAGCATCTTAACGTCACAGGGCTGCCGCATTGTGGTGCTGAGCAGGGTGGCCAGCAGGGCGATGACCGAGATGGTCAAGGCCCACACGCTGGTCGCCAGGGCCGGCTGGTATGATGTTCGACGCTTTAACATCGTGATTTATGTAATACGGTCGACCTACGACAGCGGCGCTGGGCTGAGCCGTGGCCCGCGGCTGGCTGCAGCAATCGCTGCTGTTTTTTAGGGACACGGCATCGCCAAGAGCGCGCCTTATCCGTGCGTATGGTTTAATATGACGATCCAAGATAAATGCGTATAACGTGGGCCTGCACGCCTGCTCAACAGGGTAACACAGCGAAGTGACAAACGTGCTCGGCGGCACCTTCCCGCCAAACCGAACCAGGAGTTCTGTGTAAACGAAGAAACACGTGCGTGGCTAAATGGGCGCAGAAGGATGACATTATACTTTGTTGTGACGAAAGAAGCATCATCCAGTTTGGCGCCAAGCCACCGCACCCTGGGAGGGACAGCATGAGCAAGGCGTGTCGCCTTGCGACTCGCAATGGTGCAGTGCCGCTCACTATGTGCCTTTCATGTACACCCGCAACATCATCATGTTTGCGTCGCCGACTGGCCTCGGCCCTGATACAGTGCTGCTTGTAGACTGCAGCGCGGGCGCGGCAGAGCCCGTGGTGTCGTGCGCTCTGTCAGCGGCTGCTACAGGCGCGCCAAGGCTCCCAGTTGCTGGCGCCGTACCCCACTAAGAGGACGACAAGGGTATGTACAATGTGTTCAGGTTATTAAAAGGTGTGAGCTGAGCTCAATTTCAGCACTTCTCTTGATAGGTCAAAACTCATGCGTTCTTGGTATGCATTCTGTGCGGTGGGCGCTCAAGACACCTTGGGGCCCAAAAGGAGACATGCAAAGAAGGCGCAGGAAGCTCAAGGCAGGGCGACCACAAGATGCATCAACTGTGCAGGCGACTGGCGACCAACGCGCTCAGTCAATGCCGCACACGACCACTTTCCAGCACGCCGCCGCTGCAAACGCTAAAAAATGTCCACAGCCCGCTTCGAGCGACGGGCGGATCCGCTCGCGCTCCCATTATACCGCCGCACCGGCCGGCACCGCCGCCGCAGCTGAGGCCCCGGCCGCCGCTGCCGCGTCGGCGCCGCCCCCCGCCAGGGACTGCTGCAGGGACACGGGCACCTCATGCTTCAACTCCCTGCTCATGTTCTCTCGCACCGTAGTCATTGGGTCTGCGCCCTCTGCGAATGACAACGGTAGCGATGTTGAATGCGCGGGCTCCTCAAATCCGGCAATCCGGCACGCACGCCTTGGCAACGCAGGCACCCCATGCAGAGCCCCAGTGCACCATGCATCGCCTCGATTGCACCATCTTGTGTGACAACTGAAAACCCCCCTCCCAAACACACACGTACGCGCGCCTGCGCGCGCGTACACACACACGCGCGTGCGCACACGCACACGCACACGCGCACGCACGCACGCACACGCGCACGCACGCATGCACGCGCGCACACGCGCGCGCGCACGCGCACACACACACACACACACACACACAAACACACACACACACACACACGCACGCGGCCAGCGAGCGCGACGCAGGGGCACCTACCGTGCAGGACGCGGTAAATCCCCTCTATCGTGGCCAGGTCCAGCCCACTGCGCTGCGCCAGCTGGTAGGCTGAGCGGCTCGTCAGCACGCCCTCTGCGTGGGAGCCGCCCATGCTGGCGGTGATGTCAGCGAGCTTCTCGCCCTGGGGTTGAGGGGTTGACCAGGGTGATGGCTGATTTCGGGGATTTGATCTTGATCTTGTCAAGTCCAGGGAGCGGCGGTCATCATGAACCAGTTCACACCTTCAGCTGCACAGGTATCATGCGCTTGCAGGACGCGCGTTGACAATCGGTGACCCCAGACGGAGGCCCGCCCCCACCCAAAACGCGTGCAGGCACCCCTGCGGCGGCGCGCACCCGGCCGATCCGCAGGCCGACGGTGCGGTTGCGGGAGAGGTCGCCTGTGCAGGTGAGCACCAGATCTCCTATGCCGCCCAGGCCCAGCATGGTGAGGGGGTGGGCGCCCATGGCAGTGGCCATTGTGGTCACCTCGGCCAGGCCTGGGGAGAGTGCGCATGGGTGCGTGGTCGGGGTTTGTATGTATGTGTGTGTGTGAATGTGAGCGCGCGAGTGTCCATAAGTGTGAAAACATGTGAGTGTGTGCAAATGTGTGTGTGTGTGTGTGTGCGCGCGCAAGCGCAAGCCCGTGGCTGCACGCGCATGTGTCCGTGCATGCAGAAGAGCTTCACGCATGCGCTGCACGGACACCATTGGCTGCCTGCAGCACGGATGTCTGCACGGCACCGATGCCCGGAAGCCCCCTGGGCTGCATGGGGCACCCAAGCACCCACCGCGCGTGATGAGGGCGGCGCGCGCGTTGTGCCCGAGGTTGAGGCCGTCGCTGATGCCGCAGGCGATCGCCAGCACGTTCTTGAGCGCACCCCCAAGCTCCACGCCTGTCAAATCACGGCGAGGGAGGACGCGGGCCGGCGCGAGCGCGCGCACGCGCGGGTGGCACCGGGACAACGGCCGAGGGGAATGGCGGGCACACGTCAGGCGGCCGTAGCTGCGCAGGCGGGGCACCCCTGGGC